TTCGGGTATGAAGAGAAGTACCATTAACCAAGGGAGTTTTATGACCAAGAAAATACATCCAGAGAGGTCTAACCTTCGAAAACTAAGATTTGAAATGAAAGTTTAAAGTTTCAAAGGAACTGTGTATTCAACCATGAAATTACACCTAAAATAGCCCAATAATCGCAAAGGAAGGTGGAAAGTTCTTTAAATGTGTATTTGTTTGAAAATCAGAAATTCCCAGCTCAAAGTGACACGACTTGGAAAAAATAAAATCTCGAGTTCTGTAAGTCTAAAAATTGAAAACTTTATACCATTAGAAACTAGACTTAAAGCATTAAAACTTTCTAGAAGACACTTTTCTCAGGCCCCAACTCGACGTCATTCAAATTTTAGCTCAAAGTCACTGTTCTAGACAGGACAGAGCAAAATAGGCTTGCAAATTCAGTGAAGTTTGGAAATTCGATAAAATTCGTAAAAATGGAATCAGCCCTTGAAATTTATACCACAATTAAAATTCCAAACTAGTTTCAAACACAACAAACAAAACTCAATTCAGACCTTTCTATACCAAGATACAATAGTTCTAAGAAAACTGAAGTTTGGAACTTGTTTTACGAAATTCCAGTTCTGACGTACTAGATAGAGTTTCAAAATCTGATCAAAACTAGAGCTACACAACTTTAAATTTAGAGTGATTTGTGGCGTTGGAAACTAAATTCAAAATGCTACAATTAACTAGAAGGAACTGTCTTAAAATTCAGTTTGCAAGATAGGCAAAATTGAGCTACAAACTGCAGTTAGGACTATTTCTCGGATGAAAGCAGTGAGGAATTCAGTGATATTTCCCGGTTAACTACGGCTCATAGAAAATGAGTTAAGAGGTGCATTTTATACCAACGGAAAGATCTCAGAGTCTATTTTTGGATGCCACAAACGGCACTCAATTTCAACTCCCAGATAGAGAGTTATAACCAAAAACGTGAACACTGGTTGGGGTCATCTGATCAGAAATTTTCCAGAATTCAACCTCACTTTAACCCTACTTCAACGCAACCAAATGAAAAGCTTTTTGGAAGGTAATTCATACATATAACTGCCAACATGTATCAAGCATTATTGCACCAAAATAACCTAAAAATTTCGAAATTAACAAGAGAGGAACAACCAGAAATTTTCGGCCAGCATACAACTTTCATTCCTCTAGCTTTCTTTTCAACTTTGCAACTAGAACTAAATCATATCTCATCGAAACAAGTAACAAACAAGCAATTAAACACAAAATCCTCAAGGCCTCTACCTATCAAGTCACCTCAAGTCTACTACCTAATGTCAAGGTTCTTGAGAACCCAACAACTATTTTGCTATCACTAACTAATTACTAACTTACTACTATGAATTGAAGAGGAAAAGGTTTCATGGAGGTTTACCTTGCTGCCCAAAATGAAGAGTAAACACTAGGAATTTGAGCTTCTAAATCACCAAGTTTCTTCCTTGATCAAGTCCTCTTCCAAGCTTGTATGAAGACCCAAGATAAGAAGCAAGTGTGGAGAGCTTTCTTGGAGCAACAATGGAAGAAGCAAGCTGAAATTTTTTGTGAAGTGGGAGGGGGATGGCCGGCCAAAGAGGGAAGAGGGAAAAGGGTTTGGTGGCTTTTGGTTGATGTGATTTGATGAGAAAGGTGCCATGACATAAAGTTCTCTTCGGTACAAAAAGTCAACACTTGAATAGTGGACTATTAGTGATTCAAATTGAGCTTAATTTAACTCACTCACATCTAATCCCTCAATTTATTTTTTTTAGTTTACTAATAATCATCCTTAATTCTTCAAGATTATTGCACTCTCGGACCGAAATTACCTCAAAAAACGTGCATGCACTATTTCTCGCTAAACGAGTCGCAGAAAAATTAAATTCGCTAACGAAATGTTTTAAAAATATAAATGAGACATTTTTGCGTATAAATGGATTTGAAATGAATGAAATAAATTATTCAGAGTAAACGGATAAATAAATAATTAAATAAGTCAATAAAATGAAATAAAAGTAAGTAAAATAAAAATTCGGGTCCTCACAATAACACACACACGCATGTTCGTATGTATAACTTCTAATAGTTCTATCTTGTATAGAATATCAGAATTAAGTTTTTTATGGTACATTTTTCTTTTCTTTTCTTTTTGTTTTGACCTAGTGGAGTGATTAGCATTTAATTAGGTAATTTCTTAATTATAAATTTCTTATACTCTTTCTTCCCTACACTAGTAGATTTTGATGTAAGCCACTTGTGTAATGCATACTAAAATTACCTTAAATTTATTACCATATTATGTGTTGGTTAGTCAAAAAAAAAACTTTTTTTTCCTCCTAGGCTAGCAGCTTTAGAAGTAAGCCACCCGCGTGATGCATACTAAAAATACCTTAAATTTATTACCACAATATTATGTGTTGGCTTCTTAAAAAAGCCTTTATTTAACCCAAAAAAAAAATTGTGTTCTGCAAATCTAGGTTTGGGAGACAAGAAAACACTAATCTCCTAAGGTTGTTTTTCTTGCCAGAATTGTCCCTCTACTGCAGACAAAGGTGCTTTAGGTGAAATTTTGAATTGGGATATAATTGCTAGCATTTATTTAATCATCCATGTGCTTGGACATTCTTCGATTTTTTTATTTATCTTTGTTACTCTTTTTTTTTTTTTTTTTGAATCACAGGGTTATTAGTATCTATTAACACAATGGTGGGGGTGTCTCCTAATGCTTCAATTGGGTTAGAGATTAGCAGTACATACGAGGTTGTTATATGTCTTTCTTTCTATATAATTCTTCTTATCTGATCCACAAATATTTATGAAACATTTTTTTCAGTCTCGATTTAATAGATAGTTTTGATCATCATGCTTTCATCCATGCAAAGTCTCAACGTTACGATAGATTTATAATTTCTTTGCCTCTTTGGTTGAATGTGTTAAACGTTAGAGAGATTGTATGCCTATATAACGTCAAAGAATTAGCTTGAAATATAATCAATCAGTCAAAGAATTAAGACAAAAAAACAAGTGGGATAAATCCTTATTACTATCAATGAGGGAGCTTGCAATTGGAAAGTTTATATTTCTCCGCTTATTTGTATTGCAATTGGAAGATTTCGTACCCTTATTTTTTTGTGTAATGTATTTTCATTTTGTTGGAGTGGGGGCTTTTTCGGAAGTTTGGGTTTGCTGGCTGGTGTTTATGTCTTTCTATAATTGATTTTTTTTAGACTTCTTTTCAAACCGCAGGCAGCAAAATCTTAATCATCATTATCATCCACAAGTTATTTTTACTTAAAACAATTTTAATATGGGATTGGACGGCTTATTGTTAGAGAATCATAAAACATCCTAATTAAGCTCCACCACTTAATTGAGGTTAGAGCTATTAGATGAATGAATGGCTCATGAGCTCAACTCGGCTCACACCGTATAAGGTCGAATTTGACTCATTCGTTTGATTAAATATGCCAAATTGGTTTGTTTTCTAAATGAACCAAATATGAAAGCTAACGACTCATTTACAGCTCTAATTAAGGTTTTCATGGATTTTGGGTTGGAAACTTCCAGCCTTTTATTTTTCTTTAGGTACTTTTGTTTTATGTTTATTTTGTAGGATCAGGCCATTACTATGGAAGACCTCAATTATACTATTTCCTAGTTAAAAATTTCCAAGATTTACTGTATTCTAAATTTGCTATTAATTTCTTTGTTGTATTTAATTTGAGGTGCACAAATTCTGATTTTCCTACACTAGAGGGTGATATGATCATGATACCTTTGCCCTGTACCTGTTTTGTATCTCCATGTTCCCAGCATTGTCTTCAAAAAAAATATAATAATAAATCAAAGCAAATTCATGCATATAATTCGTATAATAATTAAATTTATCAGTGAAAACATATGAAGAAGTTAAGGCCTAGCACACGAAGAAGGTTTTGAAGTTCAGATGCTCAGTAATTTATTGTGATTGATTCGATAATAAATGGTATAGCTAAATGTTTGGTTGTTGATTAAATGCTTCAGCTAGTGCGATAGTGTTGGTACGACTGTGAGTGATGATTACAAACTTTGGGTTGAACATGGCTGTATCAATCTTTTTTAGAGTACACCAGGCGGTCATGGGATTATTTTTTATTTATTCTAAACATCTCCTTTCTATATATGATGATTATTATGTACATTGTGAATCGTCTTTGCATTAGTTCTATTTCCGATTTTCAAAATAATGTGGCTTTTTTAATTTAAAAATGCCCTATATATTTTGGATTGCATGATTAGTGTTTTTGTGCACCTATTTGCGGAAAATAACAAATTTGATGAAGCAATAAATAACTATTAGACAAATGCAAGACAATATTCGATGCTGCCAAAATAGGTTTGGCTTCTTATCCTGCGTAATTTGCATTTATTAGGAAAATAAACTTGCCAAACAGGAAATGGTCATGGTAAGGTAAAAATATATGAATTAATCTTCTATACATTGACAATGTATACACTTGCATCATTAGATATATAATACATAATATGAATTTGAATTTGAAACCCAAATTTTGCATATGTGTCGTGCATCCAATCGTGATAGTATATATATTGTCAGTGTATATAAGATTTATTCAACTTGCATTATTATATACATGATACATAATTCGAATTTGAATTTGAAATCCAAATTTTACATATATATCGTGCATTCAATCGTGATAGTATATATACTTTCAATATATATTAGATTTATTCAACTTCCATTATTAGATACATGATACTTTATATATAGGCTAAATGTGCCATCCGTATGCATGCACTGGATCCCACATATTCTAAACTTTCATCTTTTAGTCCCCTCCCCCATGAAAGGGGGAAAAAAATGCCTGCAGATTTTGCACTATTTCTCATTGTTTCTTATCTAAAAACCAACTGCACCAACTTCTTAATATGTGTGATGTTGCTAACTAATTGTGATTTGTTGGTTACACTGGCGGAAATTTATAATATGCTCAGGGAAGACAAGATTAGTGAACTGCCTGATGACGTTCTTGCTTCAGTACTTTCTTTGTTGACACTGAAGGAAGCCATGCTCACCAGCTTATTCTCAACCAGATGGAGGTACCAACGGACACATATTAAACACCTCAACTTTCATCTATCAAGAAAAGAGACTAATGATAGAAAATATAGAGGCCATCTGTCCAAGAATGAGAAGCTACGCCATGTCAATCGGGTCAATTGTGTTCTGGATTTGCACAAGTCTCATTTTCTAGAGAAATTCAGAATTGCCTTGCCTCTTGATCAAGAGGATTACCATTGCGAACTTGATAAGTGGATCAAGTTTGTGCTGTCAAGGAAAGTCCAGGCCCTCGAAATAGACTTAACAGAACCCTCGAGGAGGAGGCGAAGGAACCGTAGGATACAATATACTTTGCCTTTGAATCGGACCAGCAGCAATTCATCATTTTCTGCTTCATTCTTCAACGCCCTCAAGTCTTTGTCCTTGAAGTTTGTTGGTGTGGATGATCAAATGGCTAGATCTTTCATATCCAGCTGTCCTATGCTCGAACATTTGTCGATCCAAGGTTCATCTCAACTTAAAAACTTGCAAATTACTGGACCATCACTCAAGCTAAAGTAGTTGGAGATTCGTGACATCCCTAAGATTTCCATCAAGCTATGCAACGTTGAATTTCTTGAATCATTTACGAGTCGAAATACCCGTTGCGATGAGTGGGTTCTTGAAAATGTTCCTTCACTTGTCCACATTGATGTTGACCCATTAATTATGTGCAGTGGAATACCTGATTTCATCGCAAGGATGTCAGAATGCTTCAATCAACTCGTGGAGCTTAATCTTAAGATTTCACAGCTTGACGTAGAAATTGTAAGAGAATAGAGAGATTTTAGCTTATTCGATGTTTGAATTTGTTACTTTTTCAGATCTGTGATAATGGCTTCTATGCTCTTTGATACCTTCAGGCCTTCGTAAAGTATATTCGTAAATTTCCCAAAATGGAGAAGCTCAGAGTTCTTAAGCTGGACGTCTTGTCTACATCCGAAACTATTCTTTTGAGCCTCTCCGCTCTATTTAATGCATCTCCATATCTACGTGAATTTGTGATTCAGGTAACCTTTTATCATGATTCAAGTATTCAACCTTGGTATTTATGAACTACTCATGTGCGAATCTTTTTCCTTTTTAAGTTGCGCCGAAAAATGCCATTATCTTGTTTGTTGTTCAATTGGTGCAATCCAAGACACTGAAGTAATGCGGACATGCTGATAACAGTCCTTTTGTTTTCAATTAATTTAGTACCAGATTGTTGGCTTTTGTAGCCCATGTATGTCTAAATCCAGCTATAATTAGTTTTGCTCTCGTAGGGATGTAATGGAGTCGAGTCGACTATTCGAGCTTGACGAGCTTTCGAGTTTTCATATATTAAATTCGAACTTGACTCATCAAATAGCTCGAATTGCATGAACTCGAGTTCAAACTCAATCAATACGAGTTCGAACTTGAGCTTTGATTGAGCAAGCTCGTGAGCTACTCGATTAAACTCGAGTCGTTTGCACTCTAACTTTCTCTCTCTCTCTCTCTATCTCTTTGTAAGAATCAAGAGATTTCTGTAGATTTAATCAGTTACTGCTGTTGGCAGATTGAGTGGGCTGCATATGAGTCGACAATAGACTTGAACAGGTTAACATTTCAGTACGAGTACTATCCTAAAAATGAACATCTCAAAACTGTGAAGTTTGGAGGATACTCTCACCGTTTATCTGAGTTCGAGTTTGTTGTTCACCTTTTGACATATGCAGTTGCACTTGAGGAATTCATTGTTGACACTCGTACGTCTGAAGGTCCAAATAAAAGGCAAGACATAACAGGTCATTCTCGCAGGCAGTTTGAAAGAATAACCCCTCAAGGAGTCAAACTGGTCATCCTTTAAGCATCCAAACTCTTCTTGATGGATCTTTTTAGCTTCTCTTTCAGCTTTTGGCAACCTAACTGATTTCAAGTTCATTTTGAAGTTTTTCATCTATGACATGCATGGTTATGGTTGGAGTATTCCTCAACCTCTTAATTCATAGTTGCGTTGCGCATTTTGTAGATATTTTAAACAATTTCTTTATGGAGATGAATGATCAGGAAAAAAAAACACACGCACACACATCATAGGAGAATAGTTAGTAAGTAATACATGAAATTAATCTTCAGATACTTTGCCTTTGAATTTCCAAGAGAATTGCTTTGTTTGGATTGCTATTTTTCAGGAGTTTTTGCAAAAAAAATCTACTATAATAATTTAATATATATGAGATAAAAATATGATTAAAAATATGTTTACGAAAGACATAAAAAAATTTTCGGTGAAAAAACCACAATCCAAATGGAAGTGGTTTTAGAATGAGTCCTAAGGCCTTTGGCAAGTGCTTATGTGCGACTATTGACTAGGTCCCATTTGATAAAACTCAATTCTGAAATTTGAAAATTGAAAATTGAGATGGTAAAATATTAAGGGGCTGCTTGGTTAAAGGGTTTGGGAATCACAAAATGGAATAAACCCCTTATTTGTTGCTTGGGTTAAGCCTATTGGAATGCCATTTTTGGAATCATTTCTAAAAAATCATTGCCGAGCAAATTGGAAGGTTTTGGACAAAACCCTCAACTCATTCCCTCAGACAATATTTATCACAGATCTACCCTCTCTTTCCTCTCCATCACACGCTGCACAAAACCAGAGTCTTCTTCTTCATCAGTTTTTCTATCTCTTCTTCTTCAATCAATCGCCACCCATCACCTTCATCGGACATCTTCTTTCTCATTTCAAAGTCCCAAATTCAAGTTCACAAATAGTAGCAATAGCTTTCCAAGATCTGAAAGCCTAAACGAGAAATTAGACCATGTAGTAGATGATTTGCTTGAAAAGGTTGAAGCTTCCAAGATGGAAATTGGAGAAGAGAAGATTTTATTGATTGGGCAAAACATTCCTTAGAATCAAACAATGTCATGAGTGGTGAAGTTCTGGTGAAATTTTTTGATTGTGTTCTAGTAAATCTGAAGGATCTGCTTAAGTTTGAAAACAATTTGATTCTGTCTTTGAAAGAACAAATCTCAACCCTTGAAGTGAATCTACGATTCTTGAGAAACTTTGTCATCTTCACAAATAGGCTATGCAGTGGGTATGCGAATATCAGACTGTTTTTTACTTCTATTGAAGATGCTGCAAATAATGGTATTTCGTTCTGGTGTTGAGTGGGATGGAAGAAATAGGGAGTCAAAAGTTGATAGTGATAGAAACAGCAACATTGTAACCCTTCATTCTAAAGCCATAAAGAGCTGGTGTTTTATGGGAAAATAGGTACTCTGTTCTTATAAAGGAGGAAAGCCATAAAGAACTGGTCTTTTATGGAAAAATATGACTATTGTGAAAGTGACCGCAATTTGGTTTATGAAATTATCCCAAAAAAAATTTAGAATGAATTTGTTTGTTTTGAAAGTTGTATAACGGTCGTTAAACTTCAAATATCCCTTCCTTAAACTTCAAAATCTACAAAATCTCATATTTTTGTTAAATACAAAACCTACCAGTTTTTGCAATTATCCCTTTGTTTTATAAGATTTGTTATATCAGGGGTAAATTTGAAATTTAATTGCATTTAATTTCGAAACACTCGTCAAACCAAGCATAAAAAATTGGAATGGTGCTAATTCCAATGTGTGAACCAAGCTAGATATTGAAATGAAAAGTTTAATTTCAAAACCAGAGTCTATGATTCCATTTTTATTTCCGATTCCAATATGTAAAACAAGCACCCCCTAAGTTATTGAATTGACAAAGTTATATATTTGATAACTAACTAAATTGTTGCACTGGGTTGAAATATAGCACAAATATTATATTTTTATCTTTAAAAAATTTGTCTTTATTTGCATATTTGAAGAGAAAGAAAAGTATTTTGTGCACGAGAAAATAATTAAATATCCCTTTGTTTTTGCAATTATCCCTTTGTTTTATAAGATTTGTTATATCAGGGGTAAATTTGAAATTTAATTGCATTTAATTTCGAAACACTCGTCAAACCAAGCATCAAAAATTGGAATGATGCTAATTCCAATGTGTGAACCAAGCTAGATATTGAAATGAAAAGTTTAATTTCAAAACCAGAGTCTATGATTCCATTTCTATTTCCGATTCCAATATGTAAAACAAGCACCCCCTAAGTTATTGAATTGACAAAGTTATATATATTTGATAACTAACTAAATTGTTGCACTGGGTTGAAATATAGCACAAATATTATATTTTTATCTTTAAAAAATTTGTCTTTATTTGCATATTTGAAGAGAAAGAAAAGTATTTTGTGCACGAGAAAATAATTAAATAATTGAGAGATAGTACTTAAGTGTGTGTCTACATGTGCATGTATATGTGTCAAATAGAATGAGAGCATATGTATACGATGTACAAAAGCATGTGTGAGAGTATGTCATATGTGTGATCAATTCAGAAAATTCAATCAAAAATTTTCACTTAAAATTTTGTATACAAATTAAGCAGTGCTTAATCTATTAAGTGGTTAGGCATTTCAGTTACCAAACATGTTGAATTCAAAAACTTCTGAATGAATTAATTTTCAACATTAAGTTGAATTATCTAACAGGGCCTTAGGGTCTGTTTGATAATATAAAAAAGTGCTGAAACTGAACCTTTTCAGACATTCAGATGTTTTGAGTATTTGATAAATGAAAATCTTTCTGCTGAACTTGTTAAGCAGTGCTGAATTTGTGTGTATTTTTTTCAGCACAAGAATCCTAATTGAATACTTAATTCTGATAAGAATTAATAGAATTATTTCAACTATCTTATCTTATCTACCAAATCTACCCTTATTTGTTAATTATGTTCAAAATTCTTATCTAATTAAACAACCCAATATTCTCTATCTAATGGTTTTCAGTTTCTCTTTTCTCCCTTTTTAATGACTTTCACATCTTCTCCGTATTCCTCATATAATATATTTCATCTTTTATATTAATTTGATTTAAAAATATATATTGTCATTTTCATACCTAACTATTTTAAGCTAATTAAATCATAGGTTCTATTTCTTTTTCGAATGAAAAGATATAAGGGCAAAATTGTCAAATTAAACTTATTAAACATTCAGTTATAAAAATTTATCAAATGGTATAAATAGATTTAGTGTTAAAATTCAGACATTCATATATTTCTTTTCAGTGCTTAAAATTCAGCAAATTAATTGTTTCAGTATTCAGATTTCAAAATTCAGATTCAGTTTTATCAAACGAAACCTTAGTCTCTAATGCTTATTGTCATCAACTATTATTATTTTTTCTCTAAATCAATGGAGATGATATAATGAATTTTAATCATCATTAAAAAAATTTAAAAAGTATAATATGAAACTTCAATCATCAATTAATAAAGCATAATTAGAATAACAAAAACTAAGATTATTTACACTTACCCTCCAAAGTACCAAAACTCGTGGTATTTTTTTTTTATAGGAAGAAGGGTATTTTGGACAATTAGAAAACTAAGACCACATCCTATTTAGTCTCTAATACTTATTGTTATTAACTGTTATTTTCTTCTAAATCAATAGACATTGATACGAATCCCGTTGATGACAAAATTCGCGAACAATCTAACTCTGGATCGATGGTGATTATCAGAAGCTTGGAATTGGTGGAATTTCCTACTTGGACCCCTCTAATCCCTATGATTGGAATTTCGATACTATCTTGACCCTCAATCCTACAAATTAGCTAACTCTAGGAATGTTAGACAGCGCCATAATCAAAGATAATGAACTTAATTGATAAGTCAAATGAACACTAGACGATTCTAGACGTTCAAGAAAGCTCATTGAGCCACGAAAGCAACTTTCAAGAAACGATGTTATGAAAATATGTCATAATCTATCATTGAAAAAGGAAAAACAATGTATTTATCCTTTCTTACGTTGTAATGCAAAAGACACAACCAATGGACCTTTAAACCTTGCCCATAAAACCTAACCTAAGACCATGGATCCAAGTAGAAGGGCTGGACCATTTATTTAGCCACTAACACAAGCCTACATAATATTTAACTATGGACTAAGCTAATGATATTAACTAATAAAAATAATATAAGCTGAAAAATTCTGTCCATAAAATCCTTCTTCCAAACTACCTTGAGCAGCCCTTTTAGTGGAGAACTCCGAGCTCATATCAGATATGATATAATGACTTTTAATCATCAAAAAAATTAAAAAGTGTATAATATGAAACTTCAATCAAGAACTAATAAGGGCATAATTAGAATAACAAAAACTAAGACCACTTGCACTCCAAAATACCAAGACTCATAGTACTTTATATACAGTAATGATAAGTTGTGAGATCTTTTTATTGGTACAAAAAAGGGTTTCGATTAACCAGGGAAATTTAGTTCTTTAAATGTGGAGCAGTTTGATCTATCTCTCTCTCTCTCTCTCTCTCTCTCTCTCTCTGTTGGATACCAATGGGATTGGAGTTTGAACCTGGAACCTTCTGATGATGGTATGATTTGAGATGGCCTGATAAGCTATCATGCTAAGTTTAAACTTGGGAATTCTCTGTCAGTCAGGTTAGATAGGAACTAATTTGTTTATGGCTTAGTTGGGAGCTTATTTATAAATCTATCTGGTAAATGAAGAGTATGAAGTAAATTTTAATGCAAGCATATATGCCTGTTTGTCTACTGAAGTAATTAGCATTGAATTTTCATTCAAGGTGAGGAGAAAAGATTTGGAAGATATTGACGTAAAGGTTGTTCTGCATTGGAATGGTGGACTAAAGGAAGGACAATGTGGTGTTGAACGTGATTAGGGCTGCAAATGAGTCGAGTCGAGTCGAGATTTGAGCTAATCGAGCCGAGTCTCGACTAAATTTTACGAA